CGGGGGGAGCGTGTGGAGTCGTGGTGCGAGGGAGTGGAGGGAGGCCCGGCGTTGTTGGCGTCCGTTAAGCGTTCAGCAGTCACTTTGGGCGGAGCGGCTGTCAGAACGATGGCTTGTGCGATGGATGTCGAACGGAAAGAGGTAGATTTCGCCGCAGGGGTCGTGGAGATCGTGGGGGAAAGTGATTCGGCCGAATTGTGGGCTGATCCTAAAGAGTCTTCTGCTTTTATTTACCCTGCCTGCCCCGCTGTGTCTTCAGGCTTGCAGACAGCGTAAGCATCTGACCTGGCTGAATGCTAAACCTACGGTGTTTTTTTGTTTTGTTTTGTTTTGTTTTTTTTCCCGAAATTTTGTTGTTTTTAAGCTTTTTCAGTTCTCTGAATATGTAAACACTACTGCCAGCACCGGAGGCTCAAAATGCCTGGAGAATAAACCCATCTAATTCTACAGCAGCTTTCAGTTAAATCGTCACAGCATGGCAGGGGTTGGAAGGGACTTCGGGAGACCATCTAGTCCAACCCCCCTGCTCGAACAGGTTCACCTAGAGCAGCTTACACAGGACTGCATCGCCAAAAGATTCATCTGTTATTAAACATACAAACATAACCATATTAAACGTATTAAACAGGGAACACTGCCTGGAAACAGTCTCACTGTGATCTGTGATGTGTAGGTGTCAAATACTAGAAGATTATTCTACCTGAAACTAGAATCTGAGTAAGGAGAGAAGAGAGCTGGGAACAGAATGCAATTAAATAAATTTTATTGCTCCTTATTTTTTGTATTCTCTCCTTTACGAGCTAGGTGTATCATGATTTTATTTTTTTTTTCTGCTGGAACAGGTGACTCAAATACTGGTGAAGATCAGCTGCCACTTAAATACCAATATGGGAATAACATATACACTTGTTCATAGAGGAAATTCAGGCTAATATAATTAAGCATGCTATTAAGTAAAAAGAGTTTATCCTATAACAGCTTGATGGTGAACAATTTTCTATAGAACCTGGTTTTGTTACTCTAGGTCTCCGATTATCAGTATTTTGTCAAGGATTTTGAAAAATCTTCTTTTCAGGTAGTTTTAGTGACTAGAAGGCAATTCTTGAACTTTGTTGCTGTTTTTTTTAATAAAAATTTCAGTAAAGGTGAGGGATGGAGTTTTTTTGCTTGAGACACAACCTGTAGGATTTAGAAGCAGTGCCTGTTCAGTTCAGCTAATTGATTTGAGAAAATACTTTGTTAATTACTAGCTGTGCCTTTGCTACGCTCATCTACTATTGTGAGCAGACAGAATTTTTCAAAGTGGCACAAGTACGTTGCTTTTTGAGCAGACAGAGCAAAGGAAGTGTGTAATCTACAGTATACACCCCTCAGATTTATGTGAGTCCTTGTTCTGTAGCTGATGCTACCTTAACAAATCCCTGTTGCTCCCAGCTGGTTATGATTCTGCATTTCTGAATCTTGTTGATAACTTTTCTGCCCCAGACTGACCTACTTGTTTGTTGGTTTCATGGTTTCCTGTCTTGTCCTTCACTTTGAGATCTCTTTGAAGGAAGGATTGCCGTTTTCTGTATGCTTGTGGATCACCAGCAACAATCTGTTTTGTATGAGCTTTACTTTAATCTAAATGTTAAGTAATAATTTTATTATTGCTTTAACATCTGTTTGTTGTGCATAGTGCTTTAGTGTCTACACAGGGAAAAAAGCAACAAATCTAAATACTTTGTTTCTTTTTAATATCTTCCGGGATAAAGTTAGGTGTCAGACCACAACCACAGGGTGATTTATGCCTCTGTTCTTTAGACTGGAACGAATTAGCATTTAATCAGGTTGTTCTTTTGCTTATCTTCCCTATCATAAAGTGATACATGCAAGAAGCATTCCAAAGGGTGATGATAACTCAGATTGGGTCTGTAATATCGATTTTATAAATGTAGTGTAGCTTTGCATGCCACAAGAACATAATACGGACTTTTGCTGCCAAATTTTCCCCTTGGGCCAGATTTGGACTATTTGCACTGTCCACAAGAGGAGCTTTGAAAGTGCGTTGTCTGTAGTAATGAGCTGTCCTGGGATAAACTGCAACTGTGACATAAGACTTCTTCCACTACTGTAATCCCATTGTGGAGTTGTCTGAAAAGAGTACCGCTGGATGCTTGCTTACATGCTCATTTTTTACTGCCAGGGGAGATTTTACTTTTTAATTTTTTAAGGTATAACTTAATCTGCCAATGTTAGAGTTTACTGATGCAGAAACGTGAAGCAGACATAAGGAAATGACTCATGCTTAGTTAGTACTCTTGGGGAAAAAGACATTTTAAAAAACTTGATTATTCTGTCATTGTGGTATTACTCTGAGGTAGAACTTCATGTGTATCTTTATAAATGCAAGGTGGGTTTTGATTTATATTGATTCCTTCTTTAGCTTAAATACTAAAAGTTAGGTTTTAGAACGAGAAGTTCAGGTCATTGCTGTCTATAACATACTATACTGTGTGGGAGATGCAGGAATAGAATAATCATCTCATTCCTGAATAATATACTCAGCTGAGAACTCTCTGTTATATGTGGAATGGTAGGATTCCCTTCCTCCTCCTTTGTGCCTCATTTTGGTGTGTTTACTTTGGAATTCATTTGCCAATGTTTGTCTGCACTGAATTTCATATGCCATTACTGTTATCTAAAGTGAACATTACGTGATGTCTGAAGACTTTATTTTTCATGCTTGGTTATAAGGATCCCTTTTTTTTGCACATAATTGCATTTACTTAAAATTGAACAAGACCATAAGTTATTAAATACAGAAGGCTGAACTCCCTTTTTTTTGCTCTTCCACATAAAGTGTTGAAGTGTTTTTTGCTGTTATGTTGACAAGGTAGAAGAGCAGCATTTTTCAGGGGGTTTTATGTCAATATTGATTGGCTGATAATTAGGGAAATGTATACTTGGTATATTGCTTGTGTATAATGTCTCTTAGATGTTTATATAAAAAACTAAGACCCGGTTGCTATTTTAAATATATTACAGATGGACTGGAAAATGTACAGCAGAAGAAAATCTTTAAAGAGAATAAGAAAAGGACACAACAGAGAAAAGAGCCATGTCCTGCTGATTCGGTAGAATCTCTGATGGCAGAAATGCCATTTGTTGACACGGATATTGAAGATGAATTTGTTAGTAAGTATGCTGAACAGAGGTAGTGTGGAAGCATACACACATCACACACTCAGTTTTTGGTCCTGCCTGTTGACACGTTCAAGTGGGCCGTGCACATGGAACAGTCTCCCTGCGAGCAGGATCCGGTCCAGTGCCTCTCTTATTAGTACTCGGTCCTGCAAATATTTGAGCATATTAAAAGTTTACTATTTGTGATCCATTGCAGCAATGAGTCACAGAATAAAGACATCTGGTATGTCAATTCACATTACTGTATAGGAGCTTCTCAAGCTATGGCTTTTATTAGCTGTCTTCCAACATACATATTCCCAGCATGGGGCTAGAAGTAAACCTCTGATTGAACAGCGGGTGTCTGCAGCCGGGTTGGCTTATGGGTGTGTATGAAGCCATGTGGTGGGAGAGGGTCGGCAAAGGCTTGAGGGAGTAAGCTGGCAGAAAAATAATTTGTGGTGCAAAGGGACAAATGAGGGCACGCACTTTTCTTTTGCTATGTTGGAAAGTGTCTTTGAGAAAGGAGAAAGTGGAGAGTAGATCTGGCTTGGATTAAATTTCTTATGGGCTGGGTTTCGTCCTTGAAGTATAGGTTGGCCAATCCTAATCTAATACAACCTATTTCACTTATTTCTTTAATAAACCTATGTATTACCGTGTTTCTGTATTTCAAAATGCAGCATGCACGGGATTTTTGAAACTCGATATTGGCCTTCTTGCTCTGAAGTCACATCCATGTTCAAGTGCAGACAATTTGCAGGCCTGTTACACTGCAGTGTGAAACGGAGTAGTTCAGAAGCTGCATGTCTTGGCAGTTTATAAGCCCTGCTTAGAGGTGTAGGCTGCCAGTTCAAGTGTGGTACTCCGCTTGTATGACATCAGTTCAGGTTGGAGTAGGATCCCGATCAGACAGATCAGAGCGTGGGCAGGTCAGATGACTGGGAAGACATGCTCCAGTCAGTTGACTGAAGTCCAGCTCCTTTTGGCGTGATGTTAAGTGTATCTTTGTTTTGATTTATCTATATGCTGAAAGTATTTTATTTTTTTTTTCTCTTCAGTGCATGCGACCTCTGAAATAAATATAAAAAAGAAAAGAAAGAGGACAACTGGAAGGGAAATCGAAGAAGGCAGTGAGAGAAAGAAGAAAAAGAATAAACAGTATCAGCCGAATTATTTCATTTCTCTTCCAATTACTAATCCAGAGGTGATACTCTTTATTATACTAATTTGGTATGACCAGAATTACTTCAACAGCTCCATGTGTTTATAAGAACAGTGTTTGATCTTGAGCAAAATAATTTTTTTTCAGGTGTTTTTAAAGGAACATTAGTGGCCTATTCAAAGAGTAACTTTAGGTAACATTTTTTGTGAATAAAATTGCTTATCTGGAAAAGACTAGAAGAAAAATATCTTTTTATTCAGTGTGTCAGTCTTACGGATTTCACATAATTTTGACTGAAGCTGGCTTAAATTTCCTTTCTGTACTGTTTCAGTCTTGCTTATTTTTATATTCACTTAGAATGAGGAAGAGAGACATTCCTATTTAATTTAAAAAGAAAAATCCCTAGCAATATTTTTAGCTCTCCTTGTAGATACGCATTTAAATTTGGATTTGTGGCTGTTTTAACTAGGCAGTTTGTAGTTTAACATTTTCCAGGAAAATTGATCATCTTATTTAAAATTCAAACAACCTATTGTTTTAGTGAGATGTTCAAATGGATGGAAGAAGCACATAAAGCTCTTTAAGAAAATGCATTTTCTTGTAGTTAGCATGTGTTGCCTCATTTAGACAGTGAATGAGAATGATTTCTTACATGCTGTGGGATGTCTCTGGTATGACTTTGATACATTCCATGTCTGCAGACAAGGAAAGTAGGTGCATTGCGTTTAAAAAGTTAAACCAAACAGTTTACCACCATTTCCAAATTTAAGTTTATTTTTTTAATACCAGGAGCTATCTTAGGTGAATTTTAACTCCTCGTGTATCTATACTGTCTGTTCTGTGAGAAAGTCGAAGACTAAGAGAAGCCAAAATGAAAATAAACTGCAGTAGCTTTTCATTGCAGTCTTCAATTCTTCAAAACGTAGTATCTGAAAAAGAGATTGTAGAGGCTGGTTTTGTAAGATCCGGGATAGCCTGGGAGGACTGTCATGGGAGATCGTTGTGCCATCTTACCCTGAAATATTTTTTCTTCCTCTCTGTTCCATGATTAAACAAATGCAAGAATAATGTAGGGGTTATATAATCTGATAACTGAGAATTCCTGCTCATGATTGTTATTATGTTGAATGGCTGGTTGAGTGGAAAAGTCTTAACTATGCATGCTTTTTTTATATGCCATTTATTTGGCCTTATAACATTTATAGAAATAAAGGAATAACTGTATTAAATCTCAGAGCATTTGGGAATTCCAGGACTTTGCTAGAAAGTTTTGGTTTATAGATGCAGAGTTTTTCTGAAAGTAGAAAATACACGTGGGAATTTGTATAAGGAACATTAGCCAAAATTTAGACTTAAGACACCTGGTTTTTTGATAGCCAGAGGGTATCTGGTAATTACTGTTAGTATTTCAGTTAGTAGTGAGAGACCTTTCTTGGTTTTGTGGATCTGATTTTACTCCAATGAAGTGTTTTAGGCATTAGTTCTCTTCATATTTTATGTTGTACTTTAAGCTTTGCATGGAAAGCCATTTTGTAGTGTTATTTCTGGAACACTTCATGAACTGTACCTCTTGGAAATCAAACATTTTCCTTGTTTTCATTTTAATTACATTTTGGGTCTTCAGAAATAAAATGTGGTATTCCATTAATTTTGAATTTATATTGAAGTTTGTATTATTACTTGTGCAAAATAGTTAAACGGATGATTATGAATGTATCCTTTTCTGGTAATTTTTTTTAAGTTATGTTTCATCTGATGTGTTATCACTTGGTAGGTCAGCCTTTCAGGGTCCTCCAGTCTTGATTATAATTATAAATTAATCTGTTAAATCTTTAAAGCTTACAGTCTTTACGTTCACTTCCTGGTAGTATCCTTACAATAAGCAAAACTAAGTTATTTTATTACTCATCAGAATAACATATTTCAAGTAATGGGAACGGGGACCTTGAAAGCAGTATTTGAGGCCTTATTTTGGAGCACTTTTTAAAATAATCTGAGGGGAAAATTGTTGAGTGTGATCTACCTTCAGACATTTCTTTTAATTAAGTTAGAAAATCTCAAGTTAAAAAAATAACATGATAGCAGTTGAAATGTGACGTTAAACTTCGTAAGGTAACGTAAATAGCAGGTTAAATAGCAATTTAAAGTTTTTATTTATGCAGTGGGTCGTAACTAGTTATGTAGGAAGAGTCCTGGTTCGCTTAATGAAAAATCAGTGCATTCATCTGTTAATTGCATCTTAGATTTATTGAAGAAAAGAGAATGAATCTGAAGTTCTGTTATGCACTGTGATGGCACAGCTGTGCCACAGCTATTGTGTTACGTTTTGATCTTTTGGGAAAACATTAAAAATAAATTTCTTAAATTCAGAAAAATGTACTTGAAAACTTTTTTTCTTCTTTTCAGATAGTGTAGATTGTCTAGAATGTTGTTACGTAGCCAGAGAGAGAGAGAACGTGCTCAGTCTCCTTTCTGTTTTGTCTTCATCAAGAAGGCAGCTCATTGCATACTTTCCTGATGGGTTTTAGCAATAGCTTGTCTCTGGAACTGCTAACTGGCCATCTTTGGAATTAATCCTGTTCCAAAGGTATGTTACTCGTTAAGCTCTTCCCTTGGTTTCCTGATGGAGTTTATATACATGTGAGCCTGCCTATCTGTTTGCCTTGTTATAACCCCATTGGGTTTTTGAGGGTTTTGAACCTGCTGTGGGTGTTCAACCTGTTGTCCACATTTGGATAAAAAAATTGACATCTCAGAGGTACTAATTTCCTACAATTTTTGTGGAATTGGTGCTTGCGTGACAGGGAGAGCCTTGAAAGAACATGCTTCTGTTGAAGAGTGTAGTGTGAAGGTGTCAGTTATCTGTTCTTCTAGACCTGCCAGCTGATGAATCTGCATGTTTGTTAGCCAGTCAGCCCCTTATAGCTGAAAATCAGCCACTGCGTGTGTTGCTTCTTGCCCAAGCCAGAGCTGAGCTATATGAGGGAGCTGGAGGTAGTTTAGGACATGAGCAGGAAGGGACTGGGAAGTACTACTGAAGGAAACTATATGGGTAATGGTAATTAATCTGAATGATGAATAACATTAATCTTTTTCAGAGCTAGAATGGTTTTACCACTGTGATAACACAGTTCCACATCTGAAAGGCTTGTACACTTACTTTTTTTTTTTCTTTGCTAGCTTTCAGTTGCAAATTAAATTTAGAAGTACTAGTTGAAAATGGAATAAAATTCTAATTCATATGATAGGTGATTTTGTTTTTGAGGTTTGTTTTGTTTGTTTGTTTGTTTTTTTCCCCCAGGGGTAACTGCATTTGCTTTAGTTTATAAACTTAAATAATTATGTGGTCAATACATTGTAATTATCAAGAAATATGTTTACCAGTGTTTTGCTTAAATGTGGGTTAAATATCTCTTACACCTGAGACAATAAAACTGTTATTTATCCAGGAGAAGATCAGTCCTGACATATGAAGGAAGGTGGTCTTATTACAACATGATTTATGATCAAAATGTTGATGCAATTTTTTTCATGTCTTACACTACCTAAGACACTTGTGGTTCTGTAGATGCCACATCCCTTTTCTCTGGCAAGTGGCTTTTACCTTCCTGCTCCCCACCCTCCCTAGAGTTGGTTCCTTTTTATTATTATTTGGTTTTATTTATATGGCGTTACTAGATATCTGTGGCACATTAGGTGAAACTCCTGCATGGCAAAACTCATCTTAAGGCATTCGGTCAGAACACTGCTGACCACTCCCATTAGACTGTGTTTTTTCAGGAAATTTAGGTGGTATTCCTTGCAATTAACAGAGCTCCCAAAATATATCAAGGTGGTGGGGTTTTTTTTAACCTAAATGTTACTTGTGCTTATATTATAAAAGTCAGTATGTACACTATATTTCTGAAGCATTCACCACTGATTTTCAAATAAATAAAAAAATCAGATTGAAGTTTTCTGTGTGCTTCTTTTAGACTTTATACACCAAAGCTGATTTGTCTGTAATGTCTTTGCTTACCATGCTTTAAGAAATAATTCATTTTGTCAGATGGTCAAGGTTATTGGATTTGATTTAATTTCTACTAACACAGTTGAGAATTGTTGCTGTTGGATTTCTTTGGTTGTTTGGTTGGTTTTGGGTTTTTTGTTTGTTTTCGGTTTTTGTTTTTTTGGTTTTTTTTTTTAATCATTACAATACAAATATTGTAATGGCAAGCACAGTAAACATTTTGGGTACAATTTATAGAGCATGTATAACCACACAAATAATTTTCAATGAAGAAAAAGGAATTCAAGTAATTTTAAAGAAAAAGAGTGGTGAAGTTAATACTGTATACGTGTTTCATGGAAATTCATTAAAATATGTTTGAAGAGAGTATATAGATTATATCTGTCTATTGGACAGTATAATCAGAATTGTGAATCGGATATTTCTACAGATTATTTACTGAATATTCCTGTTTTGTATGTGCCCGATCCTGCAAAGATCTCTTTCCAGACACTTGTCTGCACACAGCAACATACAAGTTTAGCAAAGCTGGCAGCCTTTTATTTGGATTACTGGCAGTGTAAAACTGTATGATCTTAATCTGCTTCAGGAATTTATCATACTTATGGAAGCAAACTCCTATTAAGATGTGATGGGGAGTGTCCAGTGATTTATTAATCACTCTATTCATACCCACTTTGGGTTTACTCGGGTCAATTAGCACAGCTTTGTCAGAGGATAAAACTTTCTTCTGCTAGAATGGTTTTTACATAAACGTTTGATTTCAGTTTGTGTGCTTTCTTGTTCACTTGCATGATGGGATACAGTAATTGTAATGGCTAACTGTTGTTTCTGTGTCTGTCTTTCTTCCCAGATTACTGGCAGTATTCAGGCTGTCCAGGATGCAATAATACAAAAGGATCAAAGGCTTTCCAAAGCAATGGTTCGCTCTGGCTCGTTGCATGTCACCATGTTTGTGATGCATTTATCCAATGAAGAAGAAATTAGCATGTAGGTATTTGGTGTTAAATGAAGTATATAGAAGTATTTTTGCCGGAGGAGTTCATAAAAGGACTAGAAGGGCTAACTGGTGCTTATTTTTTGCAATACAGAGCCCTAAATTGCTAGGGTTACTGAACATTTAATTCATGTTGTTCTTAAAATGCTAATCTTAAAATTAGCCATTTTCATAATTTATGCTATGTCATGAGCTCTGAACAAAGTATGCTTTTTTCCCTTGCATTTTTCTTACTGTGTGCTGAACTTGCAGGAGCAAATCTCATGTTTGCTAAAGTAATTATTTTAAAACAATGTTTTGATATAGGGGACACTGAGCAGATTAACAGGGGAATTTTCAGAATTTCATAGCTTAGCAAATGTTATAAGCTAAATTAGTAACTGTCGCTGAAAGACTTTCATGAAATAAACCTTAGCTCCAAGCTAATGCCTCATGCAGTTGTGCTTTATTTTAGTGTCCTAATGAATTTTAATTTTATTTTAATTCCTAAATTAATTTATTATACTCAAAATTTTAATACACTAAAAGAGAGGTGGCTGTTAGGCCTTACCAAAAGTATAATTTTTATGGTGCTTCAGGGATATAGCTGATTTTTTTTTTTTGATCATATAAAAGGTAGAAAAATTGTGGAAAGGCATTGTATTATACAATGGTGGTGTGTCTAGATGCAACTACTTGCTTTATAAAAAGGCAGTTCTTTGGTGTTTCTTACTGTTTGTCTCATGCTGTACTGCTGTCTGACAAGCCTACTGACGTGCAAGTTCAGTGGTCAATACAAAGATGTTCAGACTTTTAAGTCTGTCTATACAGCTGTGATTTATGAATGTTCAGAATAATAATTTGTGTGTCTAGCTCTAATTTTGACTTTAAATGGAAATTTAGGTTGCATTTTATAGTCTTGCTTTACACAGACTTTCCTGACGGTTTCTATTTAGATGTGGTGCCCAATGGCCCATGAATGTGACGTCTCTGTATTCTCACATTATAATTGCTGAATTGAGATTGCAAACACTTTGGTAACTGTAACAGAATATTATGTAAAATGCCGATAAACGGCCTACTGGCATTATATGAACATCTGTTAGTGCTCCATTGCTTATGTGTCAATTTTGTAGGGGATGCTAATGAATCAAAATTCATTAGATCCATATAATTCTGCGGAAGCGAAGCCTCATGGTTTCATCTCCCCCAGATGAGTTCTTTCAGGGGCGCTCTGTCTCATATATGTATAGCTCTTACTAGTTTTCTCTGCAGTGTTAGCAGGCATGCGATCCATGTACTGAATTATCTAGGTCAAATAATGAATAAGTGCAATGAGACATTGCTTTGGTTATGGTAATACAGTTACAAAATAATGTGTCTAATAAGCGTGTGTTTGAGTAGTTTTTCCCCCCAGAGGGTTTGGCTGCTAAAGTACAAGTTGTTCACAGGAAAGCAAGGATCCAAGATGGAGTGCAGGAACCATTTGGTAGTCAAGGGCATGCTTCTAATAAGTAGGAGTATTTTGGCTAAAAACATAACACACCTAAAAATAATGAGATATCGTTATATTTAAATTAATGGCCCTGCTCGTTTTTCACACTTGTTTCCTTGAACACTGTATCCTTGAGGCCTCTGCACTCTTACCTCTCCTGTGAGGATGTGAGTCTGTCAGCACCCTTCTCCCCAACGGTCTGATCCAAAGGGAGGGAAACAGATAGCTGGGAACAGAGAACAGAAAGGAAAGCAAAGGATACTAGATCTGCTGCGCTCCCTCTCCTCTCCATGTACCTTCTGTCTCCCAGAGTAGGCACACCAGCTTCCTCCTGCCCTGGCTGATGAGCAAACTGTGGTAGCACCTGAAAATCAGTGAGAACAACCACTGACTGTGCGCGCAAGGGTTTTTTAAAAAGGGTTTGAAGTGTGAACGTTTTAAGAAAGGGAATGTGAGAGAATATCTCAAAGGCAAGTATGCCTCCTTGTGAATATTTTTTAAGAGTCCTAAACTCTGTATCGTACAAATCCTCTCAAATTCGATATCTTCTGCTAGTCCTTGAGCTCCTTCTCAGCGCTCACTGTCTGGCTGCCACCCAAGTACTTACGGAGTTCTTCTCTGCCTCTCCCAGCAGAACTCCACAGTCCAGGCACCCAGGAGTTGTCTTCTAGTCAGCAGCAGCTTCCCCAGTGATTCAGCCCTTTCCTGGCCAGATGCCTCCTGCAGGTATCTAGCTCAGCTATCCTCAGGTATTCTAGATTGCATTTTCTATTATATGGGATTCTTTTTTTTTTTTTTTTTTTTTTTTCCTCATAACTGATGTGTTCTGTTTAATCTTTTGGGAGAACTTGAAGATTAAAAAGTTGAATTTTCCTTTCTTTGCTTCACCAGTTTTTGATACCAGGTTAATGGAAAGAAACCAAGATCCAGGCTGGCGAAAGAACCTCTGTTGTAGGGTGATAGTAATCCCTCAAACAGAGTGCAGCCAGTCAGCTGGGCATCTGGGAGTTCACAGATCCTTAGGTTTGGATCCATTAAGTTACTTGGATATCTACAGTTTTTCTGCTGTCTTGGCACAATGGTGCCTCTGTCCATACAGAAATGAAATGTGTTGAACGCTATTTGAAGTCAAAACGCGTGATAAGAATGTGCTAAACATAACATTCAATTCAGCACAAAGCCCTTTGTATGGTATTTTTGTACATACAGCTTTTGCCCTGAAAATGAAAGATCTGTATTCTGGGCCGCTCTTTCTGAAGGAATCCAGACCTGCAATTCCCATGCGAGTTTCCTAACTGATTGGCTGTAATCTAGACTTCATGAATGCACTTTACATTGCTTTTTGTAAGACGATATGAAATCGAGCATGTGAGATTTTAAAAACCATAAAGAAAGCAAGCAAGCAAGAGTCAGGACAGCACTGCCTTCAAGCAAAGGAGTTCTAGTCCATGCTAACTGTGCACGTAGTCGTGGGGTCGGGTACTAGAAGCCAGGATGCCTGCCTCCACAGTAAATGCCTTCGTTACCAGACTATAGTATCAAGTTCTTCTTGCTTGTTAGCTGTCAAAGACTCTGTGAATTTGACATTTTCATGATAAATATGAGAGCTGAAAGGATTCAGTTTGACTTTTTTTGCAAGGGTGCTTTTTCTAACAAGTAATCAAAATTAACAATTCAGAAATTCCTAAAAAGAAACAACATCAATTTAAGTGCTATAATGTTTACATTACAACGATATAGAAAAAACCTGGCACTGCTTCTATAATCCTAGTTCGTATTCACTTAGAATAGGCTGCTTAATTCTTTTTTTTTTTTTTTTTTTTTTTACTTCCTTTCTCCGCTTTGGAGCAAAATGCTTGTAAACTTTTTGTTATTCCCATGGGTTAGTTGCACTGAGTGTAACTACCGTTTGACATTGTGAAGACCATTTACCATGGAATAACAAGAAAATACCACTGTTATGTTTTTTGCTATTGACTTCAGTGGGAATGTTTGTCCTTGTGCGTTATTCTTACAAAGCCATTGTTGGATGTTCTAAAGTGATTGATAGAATATGAAAATACAAAATATGCTGGAGTGAGATGACGACTATTTTTTGAAATAGCTTAGTGTTTACAAGATTATATATGAAAGAAAAAAATAGAACTAAATCTTCAGTGACACAGCCCTGAACTGAAAACACACTGCACTTTAATTGACCTTTCATAGACCTCATCGGGTAGAGTTGAGCTGGTCAGTGAGTTCTGCAGCACACCCTACAGTATGGAAATATAAATCTTTGTTCAGCTGGGGAACAGAGCTTTCCATGACTCTCTGTGTACCAGTTCTCAGATGCAAAAAATCTAGAGATGGGTTTTAGGTATGAGCATGATTCATTATTTGAAAGCCCACTGCAATCTTCAATTCAGCGTATTTGAAATATCTGTACTTGTTTTGGAATAATTTTCAGGTTCATGTTGCTAAATAAGTCTGCACATGATTACCTGTGAAGTAACCTGACAGGTATAATCACTATTAGATGGTGGTTTTGAAACAAAACATGAAGTATAGCACATATGGAGGACACAGGAACAGGCTTGTCTGATGGTGATAAAAGGGTAGGTAAGTGGCAGAGACTACACTCAAAGAAAAATATCTTTGCCAGGGAACAAGTAGTGGCATTGTTGTTTAAAGTGGTTATATAGGAGCTACAGTACTTCTAGGCTATAGATTAAAGCCTTATTAAAAAAAACACGGAAGGAATCAACCTTGACATCTTTCTTAACCTGGCCTAGGTTTCAATTTCAAAAAAATTAAACAAAAAAGTTCTTATCAAAAGTCCCTCTTGTTAAACACAGTGGAAACGTGTGTGGAGTTGTTTGCAATTGTACAGATTTAAAGAATATAATTTAGCATACTTTAGAAATCATGGTGATGGCTTTCATCCAGCTAGGACAGAAAAAAGAATAAAACTCTCTTGAGGGTTTTTAGCCTGTCACTGCCATCTAGCGTTTATAAAGTCAACATGAAAAGTTTAAATTCAGTTTCCTTGACTAGAATTAAAAGCTGTGAGCATGTGAGAGATCTTTTAGAATAATATTTATGTAGTTTTTGTTTAGCACGTGATTCGCTTCAAGTGCAGGTCAGAACGAGTATTTCATGTAATTGTACATGCACTTAATGTGGCTGATTAAAATGATTATTAAAAGGTTACCAGGCTTGCTCCTATTTCTTGAGTTATATGTAGATTATGTGTGCATGCTACTTTATCTCTTAAAGAAAGTAAGCATCAATTTAGGTAGTACTGCTTTTAATAAAAGTTCTCAATGAGCTTAATAGTAGTTTCTGTATAATTCTATCATTATATATATATAATGTCACTAACCTCTGTTTATAACATTAAGTAACACTGTGGTAACTTTGAATGAAGCAGAATCTTATCAGGAGATGAGAAAAGTTAATTAATTTAAGAGTGGAAAACTAAATGCTTCTGAGTAAGCACCTTATTTAAATGGGATGCACAGAGTAATAGAGTCACTATCATCTTAATATCTAGTCACCTTGAGGACTAAGATAAACTCTTTTGAGGAATTACACCTGCTGCTAGGTCTGCCTGTGTCTGTGGTTTAACAGCAGGGTGTATGAACCAGTTTACATTTATAAAATGGTGATAATAATACTGACTGCATGGATAGGAAGTAGTGCAAAAGTACCTGAATAAATAATGAAGTGATACTAATAAAACTTTGTGAGATTTTTTTAATAGCAATGTAAACAGTATTAATGTACTTGACTTTCACATAGATATTTTCTTTCCTCTTGACAGAGCAGTTGGTGCACTTTCAGACAGCAAGGATTTTGTAGAAGATCTCCTGAAAGGAAAAACCGTGGATTTGTCCTTTCAAGGAATTGATCATTTCAGAAACGAAGTTGGATTTGTGAAGTTGGCAGAAAATGATCAGACAACTATACTTACAGAAATAGCAGGTACAACTTGTCAATCTAGTTTAAGTGCTTTAAAGACTTCTGACAACCTAGATGAGAATGGAGCACAAAGTTGTGTTGGTATTAATTTAGGCAACATTAATCCCCCTTTAACAACTGCAAAGGCTGCATAATGGATTTCCCAGCATAGTTCAAAAGGATATTAATGAATTACAGACAGTACTGTTCCCTGATACATTTCTATTTAGTATATATAAAAAACGTAGTGCGGGTGTGTAGATGGATATAAAGACTCCATTCTGCCTTGTTTTGGTCCAAGTACAGTCTGCTATTTCTCAGCTGATGTTTATACCCCTTTCAATTTGTGTATTCGTACTGACTTTAAGAACTGTATCTTTGATGCGTCTTACCTGGCTTGCAAAGTTACATAGTGCTCCCCTTTGTGTTCATGCCGAGTAGAGCACTGAGAGACAGTGACGTTCTTTTCTCTTGCATGGTCTGAGGAGTCTTTAAGTTTTGTGTTTCCAATGTGTAATACATATTGCTCTTAAACCTCACTGAATTAGCTGTAACTTACCAGTGCCGCGTGTATAAGTGCATATACCCACCCACACATATATATGTATAGGCATATATACATGCTTTATACATACACTTCCATATACGTATAAAGTAAAATTTGGACTTTCTCTGCACCCCTGGAGGATAAGGGGAATTCAGGAGAAGGACGTGACTCATCTGCCAGAGAAATGGAGTTGGTTTCCATGCTGCTTTAGCCTGAATTTTTTTTTTGGAGCAGTTGTGGCTTGTTCAGTGTTAATTGCCTTCCTTTAGCAATTGCAAATTACTGAAAGATGTGGCTATTATACATGTCCCCACACACATTCACTTCAAGAGCAAAACTCTCAGTTCTGTCTTAACAGTGGTGCTAAGGCCACTGCCTTTGCCAGTCAGATAAAATGCATCCAAAGATACAATTCAAGTCAGTAGGAATATATAAATTAAAAAGAGTATAAATATCGGTTGAGAAACAGCAGTCAGTACCTAGACCAAACGAAGGTAGAGTGGAGTTTTTTATCTGTCAATGAGTCTATATTTAAACTATGTTGTTTACAGATATTAAATAAAAATTCTCAGAGAACAGTACTGTCTGTAATTCATTGGTGTCCTTTAAAACTATCCCGGCAATTCCAACTATTCCTTGGAAAGGCTCTTTAAAAGAGTTTTTCAGTATTGATGAATTATCTTTTGTGCTCTGAGGAATGTGAGGTCACACCATTTTTTAATACTGCAATAATCCATACAGGACATTTTGCAGAGTAGCTAAGACTGCTGCTGTCACGCTACCTCTTTGCAGTCCAGTACAGAGAAAAAATGGAAAAAGTCTTTATTAATACAGTGCTTTCTCTAGCAATTCATTAGTTTGATTTTGGAAGTGCATTTAGGAAATGTTTAGTATTTTTTAACTTACCTTTTAAAGAAAAGTTGAGTAGAAGACGGAGCTTTTCAGCTTACCAAATTGCTTATGCTGTTTTTGGGCAATGTTATTATTTGAAGCAGCGCTCGATAGAGAAGTATTTCTAATGTTCAGTATGGTAGAAATTGAACGGTTCTTACATTCCAGCGAGGCTTCAGTTGTCAAGTAATCCCATAATTATTTCAAAGACTGAATCCACCAAGTATTTATTCAGTCCTTTGGACGATATGCTTCCTCATCGTTGTCCTTGAGTTTGTCTTCAGATTTCTTTTAAAGGTGACAGAATATTGTATGGCTTATAAACAGTGAGATAATTCATAAATTGTATTCACTTTCAGTGCCTCTTGTGAAAGGAGATGAATGGTTTCTGTTAGTGACAGTAACTTTCAATTTTGAGAATTTTATAGTTAAGAACTTCAGAAGAATTGAAGTCGCTAGATGCGGAGACCCAAATATCTTTTAACTACAGGAAGTAAAGGAGTTTGTTACGAGTGATTTTCTACACATCTCGGACTAGTGAACCAGATTTTGATCAGAATTCAACAAGCAAAGATGAGATCAGATTTCGACCTTCTATTTTTCAGTTTGACAGTCCTTCCTAGTAGACAAACTCATAGTACAGTCAAATTTAGCAAACAAGCAAGCCTGTTTTGTTTAAGGCACAACTACTGATACTTGCTGGTAAGCATTCTTTGCTTATATTAGAACTACAGCTGTATATTATTATTTTCGCTTAACACTGCCATTCAGTAAAAATGTTTCTTATTTCAGTGCTTACTTTTGCCAACCCAATGGGTCATTTCTTGGCCTTAGGCCTGTCAGTCTCTAGGCTTGTACAGTGATGTTTGTTTCATCTGGATTTAGTTCTGAAACGTGGTAGGGAGCTGAACGTTACCAGAAGAAAATGGTAAAAGGACTGAAAATATTTAGTGAGTATGGCTTCAGGATATGCTGTCTTAACATTTCTTACTGGCTGTCATAACCATAACTTCTGAATTGCTGCTGATTTCAGAGTATCTTTTTCTGCCTTCTTGGAAGTGCTAATATTATTTCATAACAGGTAACCTGTAATTCGTGAAAGCAAATTCAGTTTTTGTATCGATGCTTGTGCCAGAAAAAAAGATTTTAGGTCTGTAATTATGTAACACAGAAGATTATACAAGTGTGTTTCAAAAGTTAGCTGAGTTACATATTAAATTAGCAGAAAGGTGAGGTATGAGTAGGAGGAAAATGAAGACACTGAATAGTTTCTATGTCTGTCTTCATTAGTTTAAATTGCAAAGAATTCAGTATAAGTAACCTGATAAAAATCGATTATTTCCTATTACACAGATGTCCTTCAGGGCAGTGCAATTTGGAATGTGAAATAATATTAAACAAGAGAATCCATCAGAACTTTTCAGAAACAATGAGGTAAACAAGAGCATTGTTACTGAGGGAGCACTCGATCCCCTCTAAGTTTGCAGATGACACTA